GACGAATGGTGCTGGAATTTTATTTTGGGCCCAATTTGCTGTCAAAAAAGTACAAGAGGCCATTTCTGCCACTTGTCAGTTTATGGTATGTGATATTGAATATTGTGATATTGATATTGACATTTAAAGTCACTATGAGATACTGAGTCTGACTTTCAAAATCATAATGATAAGATTTGATGTCATAATAATGTGAAATTAAGTCCTGTTGTGATACAAAGTCATGATTGTAACTTTCAAAGTCATAGTGATGAGATTCGAAGTCATACTTATGAGATTCAAAAAGATCATTATGTCATAATTATGATATAAAAACTGACTTCATTATTATATATTCATAATTTTGGATACAAAGTCATAAGTTCGACTTTAAGATATAAAAAAATCTATGACTCTTATAATTATGACTTTGAAAGTTGAAATTATTCTAATTTATTTCAGATTTTTGTCTTTATAGCTATTAATTATGACGTTAAATCTCATAACTAAGACATACCATGTGCCATTTTTTTCTTTCAAGTGGCTGAATTGGGCTTGCATAAGAACATCACCAGTGTTTTGTTTCTTTTTGATTTGACTGAGTCTGGGAAAGGGGGCCAAGTGAGGGGGCAAAGTTAAACTTTCTGACCTTAAAATAAATCATGGTTAATAAATTATTACTTGATAAGATAAATTTGTGAACAAATCACAGTCAAAGACACACACACAAAAAAACCAAAAACTAATTATAACTACCTTTTAAGTCAGCAATCCCTCGATGAAGGTTACAATTATCATGTAGACTTGCAGATTTCTTTACATCTTATACATAAAATGTAACAATTTTTAAGTAGTTTTCTCATTCCTATTTCACAAATATACAAATATCTTTGAACTTTGGTCTTTTTTTGAATTTTAAACATGGAAGACCTCTGTTGGATTGCTTTAGTTTGCTTGTGTTTCTGGCCAGCTATTACCTTAGGCTAGCTTTTACCTTATCTATTATTGATAAAGAGTAAGTAGACTAGAAGATGGAGGAAAATACATATGCATACCACTTAAATCAGAGTACTGCCTTGCCTTTTTTATATCCAGAAAATTAAATTTTTATTTAAAAAACAAAAGCAGTCTGATTTTAGGGAGCACATTTCAAGTGCATAATATATAATAATCTTATTCTAAGTTTATAAACTCTAATTCCACTGACAGAACATCTTGTTTGTCTGCTCAGATTAGAGCTAATAGTTATTTTCAGAAAACTTTACATATATTCAAGCCATTTTGTGCAGTCCATGATGTCTATCAATAAACACAGAAATTGAAAATTCAACTTAATTTGAATGCCCCAGTTTAACTGAATATCAGTTTATTGTAGTTATTTTAATAAATTGTGAACATTTGGCCTTATGTATGGCCTTATTTTGCTTTTAAATGTACTTTTTAACAGACAAAAGGTAACTTGTATACTGTAGTTATAAAAAAAGACAGGGACAGAGACCATTACAGTAAATCAATAATTGCATCTATGAGACTCTTTTAATTAATATTCTTTTAACTTAATCAAAGAGTTGCATTTTTAACCAGTTCTTGGCACCTGGTAGAGGCCATGAAAGATATAGCAGGCGGTTGTGCTGTGAACTGCAACTGGGTGGTGAAGGAGGTAAATAGGCTTGCTTAGTTTGTCACCTGTTAACCCTAACCTTGCAAAATAGGCAACGCTCTATTGAGCTGCTGCTACAAGTCTCATGTAACAAAACTGCAAAAATCTAGATCCAAGGTCATTAACAGATAGAATCTAAACAGCAGTCCGAAAACAGGAATAGGTAGAAACAGACCGGAACAGGGGCAAAACAAATTCAGGAGTTAAGAGACATAAACAGATAAGAATCAGGTAATCAAAACACTAGAGGTTACGCTAGAGAACTCTCAGACTCGGCTTAAATAATCTGGCACTGAAGGCTGGAAACAGGCAACTGGAATAGGAGCTGGAACAGGTGGATCAGATGAGGGCAGAACGAAAATGGGCGGAGCTAAGCAGATGGATGAAATAACTAATGTTCCAGTCATCAGCGCCAAGATCATGACAAAATAATGTTTATTTACCTCTTGGATTTAAATTGTGAATTGGTTTGAACGCATTCCAATTGGTATAAATTAGTTAAAAGTTAATTTGAACAAATTCGAAAGTCTTGAAGATAAACTTTAGTTCTCAAAGACAAATTCCATGCGGAACTGTAATATAATTGCATCATTCTGTTAATTATGGATCTCAACCATGTTTTTTCTTCTTCTTTGTACATAGTAGCCTAATTTAGTTGAGTTTGACTAGTTTAGTGAAGAGTTTTTAACTGAAATATGTTTGACTTGAAGCTGAATGATTTTTGTTTGCAAAGTCTTATATTTTAAATGGAAGTTGTTGTAAATGTATTCCATATATGTGCTGTTATCTGTTTGACAATTATTTGAGCTCCATTCACACTTTCATTTGCTGTTCTAACATGCAGTAATGTGGACATTTGTTCATTGAACAATATATGACAGTCCAAATATTATTTGATTAAACAAATTAGTTACCACCCCTGCTGGGGTGGGCAATAATTATAATTGCACAATACCCCTGAATACCTTCTGAGGAAGGTGTTACACGCCTTTCCAACACCGAGGGAGTCGAAGGTATGCCCCAGGGCGTACTGGAGGGACTATGTCTCTCGGCTGGCCCTGGATTGCCTAAGACTTCTCTAAGAGAGCAGCTGGAGGATGTGTCTGAGGAGAGGAAAGTCTGGGAGTCTCTACTGAGACAGTTATCCCCTGCAACCTTTATCTGGATAAGCAGAAGAAGACAAACATGAGTACAAGGATTAACCAGTACCCCATGAGATGTTTAAAACTTGAGATAATGTTTTAGAATCTCTCCCCACCACTCATTTGTGGGGGTGAGCAGTTGGGGTTAGTGGGGCATGGTCAAGACAAGGGAAAGTGGCAGCTGCCCTAATTTGAACAATGGAGAGTCAGCACGGATACATTTTGTACGAGGCCTTATGGAGCCGTGTGGGGAGTTTGAAGTGTGGCTAGAGGTGTTGAGGCCTTGTTCTGCTCTTGAGGCAGTAAGGCCGGGACGCTTTTACTTCTAAAACTGAGGCTATGATGACTTAAACATGTCCTGTTTGTACCAATAAGAAATTCAGCTGCTATAACCGTCGCTCAACCCTAAGAGGGCAGCACTAACTCAGACAAATATTGCAGGATGAAACAGGTTTACATGAAAATGTTAAATATTGCTGAACTTACATTTTAATAACACCCTTAGGCCCAGTTTAGGGCCTTTACATTTAAGTGAAACAAAAAAAACGGGTGAATTAGATTATGTTTTTCAAGAGACATAAAGTGTAGATTGCAGTAATTATGCACATTTAAACGTTATGATAGGAAAAACATCCTTAATATAATTTATGTACAAACACAAATAATACCTGACTACCTATAAAGGGAGGTTTTAGGAAAGTATTTATATATGTAGAGATTTATTTTATTGAAACACACTGAAAAGTAAGGTATAAAAACAGGACTAAGTTACATGTTACCCCTGAACTTAATTACTATGCAGGTTTCATTAGTTTGATATACCTCTGTCTCTCTTTTGCAACAGTTTAACTTAAAATGACAATTTCTTAAATAAATCCTTTAAATCATAGTAAATGCAAAGTGGTTGCAGCTGTGTAGCTCATACTACCGGTACTTTCATCCTAAGGTTTTAACATTAAGGTAATATGGAGAAAACATTTGGGGTCAGTTGTTTTTAATTTTTCTTCAAGAGGGGCAGGAAGAACGTGTGCATTTGGTCTCATTAGGTGCACCTTCAATAAACTGACCTGACAGTGGTTCCCTTAATCTCCCTCCTGTGGCTCCTGCTCTGACGCACTGTTTTCACTAGCTAGTGCTCAGTCAGAAACTTCATTTGAATGGTATCCAAATGACCTTTGTTGAAACAGAAGCTGGCCTCCAGTGTCCAGGGCCCAGTTGTAAGGGAGGGAAATTACGCTGGACTGATGGTTGTTGTGGGATAATATGCCAAAGAATCAGAATGCAATGTTCTTGTAATAAACTTTTAAGTAAAACACCAATGAAAGAGATGAAAGAAAAGAATTCTTGCAAGTTTAAAAAAAGATATAGACTTAATAAATAAACCTCGATAAAATGTCTTTATTCCTAGTTTTTATTATTTTTTTTTTATTTTTATCAAAGACTGGTCATATCAAATACCCATAGGACAATTTATTTACCAATCAGTTCACTCGAACTTACATTAAAACCATCTTCTCAATTAGTGTTGTCACGTTTTACTAACTTTTTAAAACTCTTTTCCCAGAGAGCTTTATCGTGATTAGGATACAAAGAATTTAATTAATGTCAGTGAAAAAAACTGCATCACTCATTAAAAAGAAACATTCATACATTTCTTCTTTTATTTCTATTTTATTTCTAACTTAAAAAAGTGCGTGGGAGTCCTTCTTAACTCATATGGATAGATCTTGATTTTATTTGTCTCAGAATGCACAATGCAGTGTGCTATTACTTGGGAGGAAAATGAAAAGTAAAAATGTCTTTTTATTTGACATCTTAAAGGTATGAAAATTCATCTGTTTTAATGCTTTATCTTATACCTGCAACATCTTGTGCTTTGCAGTCTGCAAGTATTGGAAAACTGCTCGGAATGTCAAAACATTAGTGTCCTTCCACTGACATGCATTAATGAGGGCAAAAAAAGGTCTGAAGAGAGAAAAATATTATGTTTTGATTAAACAGCTTGATTAAAAAAAATGTAATGTTGTAATACCGCTCACTGAATCACAGGTGTTTGGCTTCACCTTTCGTCTAGTCATATATGTCTTCCCTGACTTGATTTGCAATTCATATTGACTTAGGGTGCGTCCTGACTAGAGTCTGATGGGATGAACTTCAGCTTAATGCATCTTTAGGGTTTGGACGGAAGGATAAGCTGGTCAAATGGTCTAGTCATGGTGAATATTCAGACAGAGATTTTATTTTAGTTTTAGTGGTGATGAAAACTTAGCTCAGGAAATAGAATGAATAAGAAAAGATACTTTCTTGACCCTCCAGAGGTCAAAGACTACTTGGTCAAAGGAGAACGGTTTACCAAATGGTCGGAGGTAATGAATATATATTTTTTTTATCATCTCGAAGCTTTGTTATTTAACCCAGCTCAAACACGACCTCTCCTCAGGTTATGTGTGTCGTAACTAGTAACTTGTTTGAAACAAATGCATACAATTTGTGTAAAAGCCAGTTCTCTGGTCTTTTCCAAGGACAAAACAAAGACTGTTCCCGTCACCATGAAGATGGATCCAAAAGGTTTTTACGTCTATTGGATGAACCAAAGCAAGGTAATCAATTTGAATAGATCTTGTCGATTTAAAGAGGCAATTATTTGCATTCGGTAAATGAAATTAGTAAGATAAAAAAGCATCTTAATAAGGGTTTGGTTAAATTATACACTTTTTATGTGCCCTTTTAGTTTATATTATCTTAAGGCGGACAGAACAATCAGAACAATCGGCAACTATAATGTTGGCAGGTTGTCATAATAGCCTTTTAAGCACCAGATCAGCTTGTCCATATTATTGATTAAATATCTGAAATGCAGGTTATCATGTCCCAGATTCAGACCCCCTTCCTGCTGGAGCAGCTTTTGATAGGTGCTAATGTGGACTGGTGTACTGTTTTTCAGGACATCAGAAAACCACTGAGGATTTAATCCAATCAGTGAATCGTGTCTGAGTTGCAGCAGAACGGCCTAGTCTTAAATGTTACTTTAAAAAAGGCTAGAGAAATAATCTCACAGGCAAAGAAAACCATGTAGTTTTTGTTGTTGAATTTAAAAGAATATTTGGCCCAGTGCCGATATGAAGAATTTACTGCAGGAAATGACTGTGATTCTTGTTTTTAGGAGACAACATTCCTGGATGTTGCTACAATCAGAGATACGAGAACAGGAAAATATGCAAAACTTCCCAAAGTGAGTATGGCATTATCACTTTATTATATTGTTTAATATTCTGGAAGGTCTTTGCAATTTAGTCAAATGGAGGCTGCTTCTTGTGCAGGAATCACTGCATGTATGCAAATATGAATTTGAGCCCTGAGCTCAGCCATTAATTTGAGAAACATATTTGAATTGCAAAAAACAGCTGTGGACAAATGTACAAGGCATTCTGCCCAACTACAGATGAAACACACAGATGCACCAAAGCAAAAATAAGCATAAGCACACACAGTCTGAATGACTACTGAATGACTCATGATCCAGGTCCTCAAGGATTATTCTTGTTTTTCTTTATGTTTTGATGAGCTAAGATTGGCCAGTTTTTAGTTTCTGTGGATTTTTTTTTAGTCCTCAAAGGCTTAGGAGTGAGAAAATGCAGTCATCTATCATCATGCCTCACAGAGAGGGAAATGTATTTCCCTAGAGTGCTGCAAGAGCTGCATAATTCCAGTCAGGGTGCAGATGGAAGCACATCTTCCTATTTGGCCCCTAAGGAGTTGTTGAGAAAGCAGCTCCAAGGCTCACGTCATTTTTGCATCACTGATAGTGGAATGGCACTGATTAACTGTAGGGAGGCATGCACAGGAAGGTCCCACCTAAAACAGAACTGTTTTCCCCTTTATGTTGTGTGTTTCTATGAGCTCTTTTGGGAGCCTATGTGTTTGTATAAAAATCTCAGTGTTTGTGCCCATGTTTGCATAAGGTGCTCACCCAATTTGCATGGAAAGGTGACTCTGGATTGTAGTCTCTTTAGATTCAAGATTGCCTGTATTTAACAGCTTAAGAAAGAAAAAGTTAAGATAGATCTTATTTACTAATGTACGTCTGTTTTTCACAGCATCCAAAAGTCCGCAATGTCTTCAACTTGGATTTCCCTGACAGCAACCACCTTGCCAAAACACTGACCATTGTCTCAGGGCCTGACATGGTGAATCTCACCTACCATAACTTCTTTGCCTCCAAAGAGAAAGTGACTCAGGTAAAAGCAAACTCCTGATTGAAGCTGTCTGCTATTTTATTTGCAGAAAAAGCAGAAACAAAGACAGAAGCTGTCTGCTATTACACAACAATCCTTTGCTCCCCCTCTAATGAAGACCTCACTGCTTCCTTTTAACTTGGATTAGACTTTTTGTTGTCACTACTTAGATTTGCTCGGCTAAACTAAATTACAGATTTTCTTTGATAAAATGCAACATTTCATATTTATTTCGTTTGTAGCCTGTTGCAATTACTTTCTGCTTATGAATACCATCTATAGTCAATACATGCATAGTCTCTTTGCGCATGTAAATACATTTTTATATCCTTTATAGCACTTCTGCATAGAAGCAAACTACATTTATTTGATTTGTGCTTGTGATAGTACAATGACAATAAAGTTTAATTCTATTCTATTCTAACATTTATTTTCATTTTCTTAACTGCTGCTATCTTCACACCATCTAGTGGCAAAAGAGAGAAGTTTTTATATTAATTCAAACACTAGAGCATTGCTAAAGTATTGATGTCATGTAAAACTTGTAGTCGGGTAACTTACATAAAGCTAAGTAATAATAGATCATATTAATAGAATATATTCATAAAACATTTTACATTTCAATTGAGACCTAAAAAGAAAAATAATCCAAGGTTTTTAATATTTTATAATGATTCAAATCCCAAAAGTGCGGCATGCCTATTCTCAATGTAAAACATAAAATGTTTTTTTCCTTACATGACAAAAAAATAAAAAGATCAATGAGAACTAATACTTTTGCAGTGCAAATCTCCTTAATTGATCACTTTGAATATAAAACAATACCATTTATTTTTCTCTTCAAAGAACTGGGCAGATGACATTCTTTCTATCGCATACAATGCTGCAAGAGCTAATGCATGTAGACAGGTTTTCCTGGAGAAAATGTAAGTAAACATCAAATAATGTTGCACTGCTGTAGATGTGAATAACCAAAGCTTTGTACAAAATAAGATTAAGCTGAATCAACGCTCACAAGATCACAATATAATTCTTGTGACATCAATTTCAGATATGTCCGCCTTTCTCTTCAGACCAACAAGGATGGGAAAATCCCCGTGAAGAAGTAGGTTACAGTATAACCATTGAGGCTCTGCGTTCTGTGTATTCTCCTGTCTGATGTATTGGCTGTGTTTCTTTAAGCATTTACAAAATGTTCCCTGCTGATAAGAAGAGGGTGGAAAGTGCTTTAGCAGCAGCTCACCTCCCAAAAGGAAAGGTCAGGAACAAAAAAAATATTATTTGAGTAAAGAAAGCATGTCAAAATTTACTTTTCTTTTATTATTATTATTATTGGCTGTTTATCAAAATGTGATTTAAAAAATTTTTTTTTGTCAGTATGACACCATTAAGCCTGACGTATTTACTGAAGATGCCTTCAGGACCTTCCTGACAAATCTCTGTCCAAGACCAGAGATTTATGAGATCTTCACTTCATAGTAGGTCATCACATTGTTTTTTTTTTTTATTAAAAGAACAACATTATGTTGTTGTGACACTTTAACTCAATCCAGTCAAGACATGGTCTACAGTGGAGCTCAGTGGACTCTAAAGGGTTGAGCCCCATGAGGTGCATTGCTGATGTTATTGTCATGCTTCATTCTGCACTGCAGTTCCAACAAACCTACCATGACGAAGGACAATTTCACCAAGTTCCTGAATGAAAAACAGCGGGATTCCCGGCTCAACGAAGAGCTGTTCCCACGTCTACGGCAAGACCAGATCAAGGCCCTCATTGACAAGTATGAGCCGGTCTCCAATAATTCCAACAGAGGTAAAAACTCTCAGCAGATCATCTTCTTGTTCGATAATGCGTTTGAACTTTAGCTGTAACCGTTTTTCTATGAATCTGCAGGTCTGATCTCTCCAGAAGGTCTTTTGTATTTCCTGATGGGTCCAGAGGTATCAGTTGTCATTCAGGACAAGCTGGCCAAGTGTCAGGACATGAACCAACCTATACCCCACTATTTCGTCAAGTCCTCCCACAACACATACCTTACAGGTTAGACATTGATCTGACATAAAACTTGAGATTATTGGTTCTTTAAATAGAAAACAGTTTCAGGACATTTTCACATGGATGGGCATGCAGGAACCAGGGTGCTCAGGTGGGTGGCCAAAAACTAATAGACACCAAAACCAGCTCAGGGTCAACCTGTACTAATAACAATGAAGCTATATCTATATTTTACAAATAAATCAATGAAGATGGAGCAGATTTTCATGAGGCCCTTGCTAATACAGCTTCACACATATTTATGTATTTGTGCGTTTTACATGATTCTATGGCTCTATATAATATATACAATAGATAGATTTAGCAAATGATCTTTGAATACATAGTGTCATGATCGGTTTACGAATCTGACCCACATGCAGAGAAACCACTCAGAGAACAAGGAAAAAGTTTAACAGGTTTATTGAGGGGGGTAAAACAGGAGTTGGATCTGGGACTCAGTGAGCTGGTAACCCAGAAGCGAAGTTGATAAGGGAAGTTCAGTGGTCAGTTCAGGTACCGTGGGAATCTTGGAAGCACTTCGATTTTGCAAGAATGGGACTCACGTTAAAGGGGGGCCTTGTTAGTCCATGAATCCAGTCTGTGTGGTAAAGCCAGAGAAAAGTGCACACGTTGGAGGGCGGACAGGCTGACAAGCGTTGGACCCGGAGGAGTAGTGGAGGGGACTGTCACTCGGATTTCCGATGGGTACTTGAACGGAACATTTGGAGGTTTTCCCCTGCTCAGTGTAACTCGGTTTTTCTTTCCAGGGGAGAGATGGTCCAGGGAACCAGTAACACAGGAAAGCTTCCTGCCGGGGAACAAAGACAAAAAACTCGTTAGACTCAGAGAAACAAAGCTAGGTTAGACTCAGCTAAATTCAGCTTGGCTAGAGTACCCAAAACGTGGCAAACACTCTGGCCTCGAGGTAGTGATAGCCCACTGCTCAAATACTCCTCCAGATAATGGTCCAATGAGCCACAGGTGTGCAGGGAGGGCCAACGAAGACAGGGAACCCCCTGGTGGTGGAGAAAAGACAAACAGTACACACAAGCCTAACACATAGATGACACTATAGAGACAAAATCTCCCCCATAAAACTAATTAACAAAGGATCGTTTATTTTTTATTAGTCCTCTTTAATTTTAGTCTTTTACTGTGAGAAATTAAGGGAATGAATAAAATAAATTTACAAACTTTAAGAATGTCAAATATGATATTCTGTATGATGGTACTACTGCTACCACCCCTCTGGTTACAGGAGAACTGCTTGTTCCAGAGGTGGCCAATAATTGGCAACCCAAGGCCCCCTGGCCCCCTCTAGACCTGCCCCTGGTTATAGACTGGGTTGGTCTTCAGGCATTATACAGAACTTGTGACTGTGCTGCTTATGCAGTATTATTTAGGTCATCCTGATACATTATCTTAATACAAGTGGTGAACTATGTGTAAAAAGTTGCTTGGTAAAAAATCCACTCAAGCTAAAGTACTTAAGTTGGCTACTCACTTTTGAAAGTACTTTAGTAATTAAAATTACAAATACAGTTTTCTGATATCAGTACATTGATGTATAATTTCTAGGGTAATTTTACAGAACCTTGTAAAACCAGAAACCACCTGATGTATTGAAGCATAGAACCACTACAAATACTACACCACCTATAAAGAACTTTTGCATAGAAATGCCAAAAAAAAACGATGACTATTTTATTTATTTATTTATTTTTTTTATACATGCCAAAAAGAAAAAAGAAGAGTTGATTCTTCACACACTTTCACTTTAGATTAGTGGTTTAATGTTAAATCTATTACCACTAAGAAATTACAACTCTGCTCTCCTCCTATTGAACAGCTTGGACATATGGCAACAACACACACCTTTAAGGTTGGTGGAGGATTTTCACAAATTTTTGAAAAGACCCGGTCTCTCCACTTTAAAAAAAATGCACATACACAACTCTGTACTGCCCCCCCTCCCCCCGAGAGGGAATGCCTACTAAACGCGTGCAAGAGCATGCACGACCCTATTCCTTCTCATGCACGCTCTCTTTAATAGTTCCTGTTTGCATTACCCATACAAGCTTACTTTCCAAAAGACGATTTGCAATTTTTCACTATGTCAGACTCACCAACGGTAAGTGAAAGTGGGGACAGGCATGTAGGACGGCCTAACGTAAACATACCACCAGAATGATTGACAATTAGGAGGACCACTTATTTAGATGATCCACCCAGAAAAAGAACATCCTCCACTATAACTTTAATCAACTACAAATAATATCTCCTCTGAGGTGTTTATGTTTGTGAAATGTCATTCAGATCTCTGAAACAGTGGTGTCCAAATTCAGTTCTCAGGTGCTGGTATCTTTAATGTTTCAAGTGCATTTCAAGAAAGAAAAACAGCAACAGCAGATTACACAGCTAAACTGTGCGAAAAGGAATGAGTAAAGACCAGCTAACTAGAAATGTAAGGAAGTGAAAGTTACAAGCCCCCCCCCAAAAAGTACTCAAGTAAAAAAAGTACTTAAGTTGAGTAATCAAGTAAATGCACTTTGTTACTTTCCAACACTGCTTAATACTATGTTCCCTTGTTGTAGCATTAAAGTATATTTTGTGTTAAGTTTGTAACTTTCAAATGCATTTGCAGGCGTTAATATATTTTCTTCTTTCTCACTGTTCAGCTGGCCAGTTCTCTGGCGTATCGTCTCCAGAGATGTATCGTCAGTGCCTGCTGTCTGGATGCAGGTGTCTGGAGCTGGATTGCTGGAAAGGAAAACCTCCAGATGAAGAGCCCATCATTACCCATGGCTTCACCATGTGCACCGAAATCCTTTTCAAGGTCATTACAAATGTTGTTGTTTTTTTTTTTGTTGAGATTTTTGTAGGTTTACCAAATTTTTTGCTCAATGTAAGCAACATTAATTCTCAAAAAAGTACAAGCACAATATCTGC